AATCTTCTTACCCCCTTACCTCTGGCCTAAACCATAGTTCTTCTATGCAAAACAAATAATTTTTTTTAAATCACCTTAAATGTAAATAGTCTGAACTTACCAAAGATATTGAGTAGTGACTGGATTTCTAAACAAAGTCCAAGCTTGTGTTGTTCACAATAAACTCACCTGACCAACAAAGACATGCACAGACTTAGAGTTAAAAACTGGAATACAAGCAAATAGTTACCAAAAAAAAAAAAAAATCAGAAACAGTTATAGCTGATAAAATCTCCAATTATAAAGGTAATAAGAGAAAGAGATGTACCCGATTATGATTAAGGGTCTAATACATAAAGAAGAAATAAAACTCATATATGCACAAATGATGGAACATCAAGATACATGAGACAAATAACAGAACTTAAAAGAGATATTGATAACAACACAGTAATTCTGTTATAGGACAGGGAGAGGGGCAGCCCAAAAACCCTGCAAACCTGCCTATTCTAAATGGGTTCTGCCATCCGCCGCATCAACACAAAACATAGGAGACTTTAATGGGAAGGAACTTTAATTAAACTAGGAAACAATACAGGTAAGGCAAAGAGTCTAGTTTCTAAATGAAGCACCCAAAGTTACCCGTGCCCTCGTGGGTAAAAGTCCATCCATATGGGATCGGCCCAGAACAAGGCCCCAAAGCCTGCTACAAGTCTAAAGCATCTTCCAGTGGGGACCCACAGCAAAGGGTCACAAACAACCAGACAAGCCCGGAAGGAAAAGAGCAAAATCAACATCAAGATAAAAGCTGCCATTGTCACCTCCCCACGGGTCTCACCCACATCTGTGTCACCCAGTCCACGACCAAAAGACAAGCGCAGTTTCTTTACGTGTCTCTAGGCTCCATGCGCCTCCTCCAGGTCTCCTGGCTCCATCCTGCTTCCTTCCTCAGTCTCTTCTGCTTCTCCTCTTCCTGCTCAGCTCCACCCTCCCTTAGGTGGGGCAGGGAACCTCCCCCTTTCCTGGGGACCACCCTGTTACAATACTAGGGACCCTTAATACTCCACTTACAACAATGAGCAGATAATAAGACAAAGCATAAATAAGGAAATAATAGCTTCAATTGAGGAGCTTCACTAAATAGGTCCAAAAGACATCTACAGAATATTCCACCCCAAAACTACTCCATACACATTTTTTTCAAGTGACCATGGAACATTTTCAAGAATAGACCATATCTTGGGACACAAGAGAAATGTTTTATTAACAAAGATAGAAATTATACTTACTACTCTTAGTAATCATAATACCACAAAACTAGAAAGCAACTAGAAGAGGGGAAAAGGAAATTATGAATACACAAAAATTAAACAACATGCTGTTTAACAGCAACTGAATAAAGAGTAAATCAAAATATAAATTTTTAAAAAGGGATAAATGAAAATGACACAAGCTACCAGAATCTATGGGACAAAATAAAAGCAGTCTTAAAGTGGAAAATAATTGCAATCCAGGTCCACATGAAGAATAAAAATCCCAAATAAACAATCTAATAACACACTCAAAACAACTTGTATAAAAGGAACAAACAAGACCCAAAGTTAGTAGAAGGAAGGAAATAACAAAAAATGAGAGCAGAAATAAACAGAGATCAAAAAGACTGTTCCCAAAAAAGTCAATGAAATGAAGAGGTGGTTCTTGGGAAGATAGGAATACAAAAAGAAGAGATAAAATGTTAATAAACAGAATCACAATGGACAAAGGAGATAGCACAGAAATACAAAAGACTGTCAAAGAGTAACATGAATTTTATGCCAAAAAATTGGAGAACCTTGGAGAAATGGATACATTTTTTAACCTCAATTTAGTCTACCAAGGTTAACTCCAAAAGAAACAGATGAAATGAACAAACTGATCACAACCATGGCAATTGAAACAGGTACAAAAAATCATGTGAAAAATAAAAGCCCAGGACCAGATGGCTTTTCAAATGAATTTTACCAATTTTTTTAAAGAACTAATGCCCACCTTGCTCACATTGTTTTAAAAATTAAAAAAGGAATGTTCCTTAATACATCTCATAATGCCAACATTACACTAATACCAAAACCAGACAAAATCTGCACAAGAAAAATTACAGACCAAAATCCCTGAAGAACGATGCAAAAATTTTCAAAAAAAAAATACTAGCAAATCAAATTCAGCTCTACACCATAAGGATCACACACTATGATTAAGTGGAATTTATCCCAGGGAAGCATAATTGTCTTAATCTATGTAAAACCCTCTTGAGTTCCTCCCCTGCCTTTATTCTGCTCTGTGTCCTCCAGACAAGCCCATTTGGACCACACCCGAGCTCCAAACTTCCTGAGGTGTCAGCCAATAGGGTAAGATAAGAAGGTGCTCAGGGCACCCTTCCCTCCATGCCCTGGGACCCCATGTGCCTGCAGCCCCCCTGGATAAGCCCCTCCTATACAGGCTCACACTCTTGCTCATCATCCCTGTGGATTCCCGGACCTAGCATACCTCCAGCAACACTTGCTCTGGGGTCCTCGGAATCTTCAGAACTCAAGTGTTATGGCACATCTTCCTGCCAGGACCTGATGGAACACAGTTCAAATTCTCCAATTGGGCCTCCCCAGTGGCACAGGGGTTAAAGACAGCCACTGCAGCACCAGTTCGATCCCCAGCCAGCCAGGGAGCTACTCACATGGCGCAGCAGACCTCTCTTGCCTCACCCACTGCTCCCCTCAGCAGTGTATTTCAGTAGATCTGCCTGTTCTGCTCCCCACTCTGTCTCTGGTGAATCCTCTCACCCCCTCCCCACCCCGCACAACTGGCTTACACCCCAGTTCTTATATGCATACATCAATCAATCTTTACAAAAACAAATTCTCCAAGTTGAGTGCATGGCAGGCTGGGACTAGAAGGGACTTGGCTAAGGTCACACAGGGAGGGAGGGACAGGGTAGGTTGGAACCTGGAACTCAGGCTCATGAGTCATATTGTGTCAGGGAAAAGGTACAGATGACCATACAGGCCACGCCAGCCCACTACTGGGCAAGACTCAGGCCAGGGCAGCAGTAATGTCCTGCGGACAATCTATCCACTACCACCAGGCAAACAGGATTGTCAGTGCTGTCTAGGTCACAAGTGCTGACGCCCAAAGGAGTACTCAACTGCTGCAGACTCGGTGGCTTCAAACAACACAAAATTATCATCTCTAGTTCTGGTGGTCAGATGTCTAAAATCAAGCAGGGAAAAACCATTTCTTGCGTTTCCCAGTTTCCAGAAGCTGCCTGTCCTCCTTGGTTCATGGGCTCTTTCTCCATCTTCAAAATGCATCACCCTGACTTTGGATTCCATGATCACACCTGATTCCAACCTTCTGCCTCCCTCTTCTAAGAACCCTTGTGATGACAATGAGCCCACCTGATCATCCAGGATTGTCTCCCACCACAGGGTCATTCACATCTCCAAAGTCAAGTCACTTTTATCATGTCAAATGACACACTGACAGGCTCTGGGAGAAGGGCAGGACGTCTTGAAAGGGATGCATTATTCGACCACCGATACTCCCCAGGCCCAAGCCCCTTCCCAAAGCTCCCATCCAATGGGCTGAGAAGACAGGGCCACCAGTGACTTCACCCTGGGCATCCCTTTGCCCTTCCTGGGTGGAAAGATTAGGATGAGAAGCCACCTAAAGGGGAGGAGCTCCCAGCTTCCCCTCTCACAGAGGGGCCTCCTTGCTAATAAGTTACCTGCCTCTGGCCAGCCCCTCTCTCTATGGAGGATCTGAACCCCAGAGCCTGCCTGGGGGCACTGTAAACCTGTATCTCCCACTGACCAGAGAGAAAGGAACAGAAGGGCAAGGATGGGGAAGGCAAGAGGGGAATCAGAAGGGGGAGAGGCGAAAAGAGTGGATTAGGCCCAGAAACATCCTCTAGAGGCCGGGGGTCCCTGATGGGAGGTTAGGGTGATGCTGTTTGTCAGGATCTCCAGTGGCTGCCACCACTGAGGATGCAGCCAAGGCTGGCAGGGGTCCAGGTATGTTCCTAACTTGGGAGATGGGTGAAATGTCAGCGGTGTTCCCCTTCTGTTGACCCTCTATGGCGCTGGACACCCAGAGAGGGCTGCAAACTTTGATGGGCACATCCTGCCAAAAGTTGGTCTTATCGCAGCCAAGGAGACTGATGGCTCTGGGGGAGGTTGGGAGACCACTGGTATGCTTGTGCCCGCGGTGGAGGTGACAATGAGAGACGCAGGGACCAATAGGTTCCTTGGTGGGAACTGCCACCCTACATACTTGGGCTGGGGCCTCCGCCTGGCACTGCCCTTCAGTGCCTCAGGTCTGCAGAAGAGCAGGCTGTATGGCTGCTCTTGGACCTCAAGATTCCCATCTTGAGGCTGGGGAGACCAAAGGGAGGGAGGGGGTGGTGCAAGGCAGGGTAGGGCTTAGCCAGGGAGGGAAGGAACTCAGCAGGGATGGAAGGAGGTAAAGGAGGGGCTCTGTGGCACTGACCCTTGAAAGGACTGGCGCAGTAAAGACAAGGAAAGCCAGGCTAAGTTTCTCACAGGCAGGACATTTATTGCGCTCCTGGGCAGGCGAGGTTCAACCACCCCAATCCCCGCGAGGGTCGGGGTCGTGCTGGGATAAGGGCAAGCTTTTATAGGGTGGGGTCTGGCCTTGGAGGGAGGTGGAGAATGCGGAGTCGAAGTTGCTTTTCAAAGTTTTTTCTCTCAGAACTGGTTGTTCTTCCAACGCTGCTTATCAAGGCCCCTGCAAACCGGGCAGAGCTGGCTCCCGGGATGCAGGTGGCAGCAGTTTCAAGCTCCCCCACTCTGAACCCCATCTCTGCCCGGGCCTCGACCTTACAGCCCTCTGTAGGTGCAGTCTCTGTGCACCTCTTTCCTGGCCCCTCCCCCCCCCCCCGCCCCCCGTTGTCTTCTCCACAGGTACAGGCCCAAACTTCTTCCTGGAGTCCCCAGGTTTGGGGTCTAAATCCAAAACCCGACCCTAGCCTTCAAGACCTGCCCTTGTCCCTCCATTTCTGGGTCCTGGAGGTGGGGGTGGGGGCTGCAAGCACTGCCTGGCCCTTGAGTCCATCCTCAAATCTGTCCACCATCTTAGTGTTCTATCTGATCACTAACCCGGTTGAAAATCCCTATTCTTTACATCAGTGGCAACACAGGGTGGGCAGTGTGGTCTGACTGGCACTGGGGGTGTGGGTCCATGCTGACTCTGAGAGGGTACCTGGAGTGTTCTCCCTGACCTCTGACATGACACTGCAGAAACACAGCCTGCCTCCCCTAATCAAAGGGGGTAAATGAGTGCCCAGGTCCACCATGTGCAGACCCTCTGCTAGCAGGGATGGATCAGCCCATCAAGCATGGCTGGGAGGCGCAGTCCAGGCCTGGGGTCGGGTCTCCTGGCCAGAGTCCACTGCCAGGTGAATCCTGTGAAGACAACTCCACAGAAGGTGGGATGAGACTGGATGGAGTGAGCATCCGGTGATGGGGAGAGTGAATCCTGTCACCTCCCCTGACCAGGGGCTCTCTGCTAGTATCCCCAAGGACCCCCACAGCCAAACCCTAGAGATAAGGTGGACAAAATCCCCAAATGCCTTATTTCCCTTTCCTACCCAACTCTTGAACACCAGTCTTCATGTTCAAATGCACGAGACAGCAGCCTCCCTTTCTGGGTAGCAAGAGACTTATTGGGGGCACCACCCAGGCCCCTCTCTGGGCGGGGTGTGGGACTCAGGGGGCTCGTCCACGGTCCTGAAGCGGCTCATTCACATGAAAGGCCAACACACTAGTATCCTCACCCCCAAACTCATTGCTTCACTGCTGTGGAGCGCCGGTACCTTCGGTTTCCCCAGCTGTCACGCGAGTGGGTACTTCTCAGAGCAACAGACCTGTCATTTCTGGCCTTGTGGACTGCACCCTCATGGTGCACATGCTGCCCGACATCCACTGACGTCTGTGCTCCAGAAACATCAGCCACTGGCATCCCCGTGGGCGTCGTCACAAACTCCACACCAGCGACTCAGGGGGTCCCTAGTTAATGCTCTTTCTGCTCCCAAGACACAGAAATGGAGACATTTATCTTGAGAACAGAGAGAACATATGGGACCCTCAGCAGGACTGCAAGAGCACAGTGTTCTAGTTCCTCCTTCCCATTTTGCCTTTGCCTCCCTCGGCAGCTCTCTGCGGCATCTTGGCTGTGACCTCCTGTCTCTGCAGCCCTCCTGGCCCTGAGGGTGCTGCTGTCAATCTTCCCCACCTGAGGCACTAGCTCGTCCACAACCCCTCCCCAGCAAGTACCCGGGGTTTTCCCGTTTGTATTTACACCAAACTTTGTTCACAACCGCGGCATATGTACTGTGGGTCAAGCACACCATCCCTGGGGCCCGACTTTCCTCGCAGCAGCTCGTTTCTGGCAGCCCTGGCCTGCCCTGGATGAATCACCCCCATCACTGGGACTCGGAGGAGTGCTCAGCAGATCAGTGGCCACACCCATTAAGAAATGGCCGAGCGCCCTCCAGGATCCTTCTCTTAGAACTTCTGGGTCACCAGGGTTTCGGTAAGTGGATGACGTTTGGCGGCCTCCCTCTATCCCATTATTTACCCAAGGATGGTCCCCCAGTACCAGGCCTGTTCTGGGAAGATGTGGACAGCAGAGGTCAGGGAAATCCTGCCAGGACTGGGGACACAAGGAACCCACTGGGCCTACCCCCACACCCCTGCCCCGCTCTCCTAGACAAGGCAGGTTATGGGCCCAGTTGGAGTCTTGGGGGTACCACATGCCCGCCACGAGTGGGTTGGACCAATGAGGTCCCATCCAGCTCTGCTTAAGATTTCCTCCTGCGAGTCAGAACTAAGGCAAAAAGAGCCCCAAATGAATTCCCTAGAGAACCCGTGACTGACTCCAGGTGCAGTTGTGTCTTGCAACAGTCTCCTAATCCTTCCTCCTCAGGGAAGATGGAGGTGTTCTCAGCAGGAGACTTCCACCTTGTTAAGGCCTCCTCAGGCCCACCAGGCTTGCTGTCTACAGGGGGCGTGTAACAATGTCCCAACACACTGACCCCCTCAGCACCAGCAAGACCAAGTCACCAGGAGTCAGGCTCTCCCAGGATGGGCCCCCGTCCCTCCTGATGTCCTCCAAGCAGGCAGCAGCCCACCAGACCCCACAGGCCAGGGGGCACTGGGGAACAGCAGGGGAGCAGCACGCAGGGAGGCATCTGACAGTCTCAGCACTTACTTTCTTCCTACTATAGGCGGGTCAGCTTTCAGCTATACAGAACAAAATCAAGAAAAAAAACAAAAACAAAAAACAAGACGGCCTGAGGACTGAGCCGAGTCTGATAGAGTAACTTTTTCTGTAGTCCTGGAATTCTGACAGGGTTTGGCAGGTGAGGGCCCCAGACTTCCTACCAACCATGCCACGTGAGCATCAGCAACACTGCCCCTAGTACCCAGGGAAATGCGTGACAGAACCCAGCAGGAAAAAACTCAGAAATCCTGCCTCCCAGACCCCCTCGGCATGGGCTTCATGTCCAAGGCACTGGCGGAGTAGGCGATCTGCTTCAGTGGCCACCCTCTGACCAAGGGAGAGAGCGTGTTTATCCAGGGCTGGTCAGTTTCTGCTCCAACAACCCCACTCTCTTTACACACAGAAAGGCGCTATCCCACCCTGGGCTGAGCTCTCGGCCAGCTGGCCCACCACGGGAGCAGACTGGAAGTGGGTGAGGGTCTGTTTCCCAACTGCCACCTCCCAAACACATTTCCACACAGAACAGTCCTATCTGTTCTTCCTCCCCCACAATTTAGGGGGCAGGTTATTTCTGGCCCTCGGGGTTGGTTTGGTAATGCCACTGTTGAGCCACTGAAGTATTCTTCATTCACTCATGATGTTTGCAATACCCACGGGGCATCTGCAGGGCTAGAGGTGGGAGGTGGGAGAGCCTGATAGGAGGAAGGGGTGCCTCTGTTGTGCCCAGAGGGGCAGCCAGACACCTGGCCTCGGTTTTGGGGCGAGGAAGTAAGTGAGGCACCTGAGAGCGTGTGGCTGAAGCCCCTGAATCCTGCATCCATCCCGGATTTTTAGAACCATTTGGCAATCAATGTAAGCGCTACAGGTACCATTCTTTTTTCCTTGTCAAAAGCTTATCAGTCTTCTGAGCTGAGTGAAGGCTAACCATTGTGCAGGCCAGATGGGAAACATTTTTAGGAGACATTTAGGAATTCTCCCTTTTGGCATGTTCTGCAATGCGGGCAGCAACTTCATATTAGAGGTCACATAATGACCACACGCAGAGAATTCTCTCAGTAGCAAATATCACACACAGATCCCAGAAGTGCTTAAATACAGATTTATTGCAAACCAACACCGGAGACGAAGACGACGTCACAGGCGGATACCCCACTTTCCTCGAACCTCAGCTGATGGAGTTCAGTGGTCATTCTGCTGCTGTCGTGTCTAGAGAGAGAAAACAGGCAGAGGGCACCTACTCCAGGGTGCTGGGCTGGTCATGGGTGGCAGCAAGGAGCACAGGGCAACCAGATGACAGTGAGGATGGCACAGGTCAGTCACGTGTGTATAACCAACACCTCTGCCGCCCCCGAATCTGCTACTCCCAACACCTGTGTGCCACTGTTACAGCAGGTGAGGGTGAGGGAAATGCAACACTGAAAATAAAATCAGGCGAAAGGAAGACAACTGACCACGGGAGTCCACAGCTCCAAAGTCTCCCAAATAACTGAGATGCAGGTGGCACACCCTAGCCCGTCACTCGGGAAACCCCACAGGCATGGCCAAGGGAGCAGTGAGACAGAGACACGCGGAGAGCAGTTCTCGCCCAGATGCCAGCCATGAGACCTTTTGTTAGATGGGATGACAGACCTGCAAATCTTGGGGCCCTAAAAAGGGGTGCTGGTTGTCCCACAACCAGAGTAGGTGACAAGTGCAAATAACAGGTTTCCATATTTCCTTGACAGTGCTCCCACCAGTCACCTGTGGCCCGTGCCTCCCTTGATGGCATCAGTCAACAAATGCTTCTTAGAGGACAGGGGATGCTTCTTACAGGACTGTCACTTACTGCCTGTGAGTCAGAAACCTACCCCCAAATTATTTCAATAAACCAGCTTCCATCTATCCGGGTGAAGATGAAAGTCTCCAGAAGGACCACTACCCAGACATGGGTCCTCCTCCCCCAGTGCAGTGGGCAAAGTCCACAATGGCAGGCTGTGGAGATCTTCGAGGTAACCACCCAACAGAGCGGCCCCATGGTCCTGGTGCCAGGCACAAAGGGCCCTGACTGGGGCACAGTCTCCAGGTCCTTGGAGCATAGGGGAGGAGCTGTGAGCTCCCTGCAGAGTGATCTTGGCTCAGCATAATGGGATGCTGTACTTCATGGCCGGAAGGGACCAAGGCTGCACACTGCCAAGGGGCTGCTAATATGCCTGGTCTCCTGAGGGTGCCCAGCCATCAGTGCACCCAGAACCAGCCTGAGAGCATCCAAGCAGCGCAGTCGGCTCACTGATAAGAATGGGCCCACAAGAGGAAAGCACTAATCAGGCAGGAAGAGAACCGATGTCCTCCTACACGCACTGAGGCCGCAAGAACTTTCTCCCAACATCCAGAACCAGCAAGCAGGACCTTGGTGTTCTCTGCTACAGGACAAGGCTAGGGAGGCGGCGCACATTTACACAAGGAAGAGCACGACTGCATGTGAGCCATCAAGGGGCAAGGAGTTTCCCCAAACAGCCCAGGCACGTGGCCCACCATTGCACACCTGCCCGTGCTTCAACAACCAAACCCGGCACCACTCCCTGCCCTCAAGCACGAGAAAAGCAAGCAGAGGTCTAACAGCAGCAAGCAGAGAGCAGGGCAACAAAGGGCTGCAAGGCCCGGCCCGGCGGTCTGCTGGAACGTCCCTCCTATTTTCCAACACCCATGCTCAGCATCGCCGAACAACCCCCCCTTCTCCGGAGCAGTCTGGAGATGCAAGGCCAGGGTAAAGGCCTGGTTCTCCCCTTGAAAGAAAGGATGGTGCGGTGAACCAGACAGACAGTCCCTAGCAGGCAGGGAGCCAAGGGGCATGGCTGAGGCCCCTGGCTCCCCACTGGCGAGGGTTTCGGTTCCTTCGGTCATTAAAACTGCACAGCCCCTGGGGAGATGTTGAACATGGCCGGGTCGAATCGCTGGCCTCGGAAGGGAGAGCCTTCAGCGTCCCACCCCTTCTTCAGCATCTCATGGACTTTCTACAAACAGAAAATAGACAGAGAGGTTAACCACAGTCACCAAGCCTGTGTATCCTCAAGCAGGATACGCTCTGCTTCCTCAGGAGGACCCCATCTGGGGTGACTACAGACCCTCCACAAAACTATGCTTCCACATGCTAACTCTACCCCCACCCCCCACCCCCATCTTGCCACCAGTGAAGCACTACCCATCTTCATGTTCAGCTGCTATCCCATCTCACCAGGAATTCCAAATGCCTGAGGGGCCTAGAGACCATGGGACTGAGGTGTTGGGGTACGGGGGTTATCTCTACCCCTTGGGGTTGACTGAGGTGCAGAGAGGGTTCCCTGCTCCCCTTCTCCAGGGAGTAGGCTGGCAGCATTGAGGCCTACACCCTCAGATAATCTGGGAGTTACCCAGCTAACGACTGACAGGGAGAAACCCACCAGGATCTGTAGTTCCTGGAGGCAGGATCATTGCTGCTGGGCTAGTGGTGCCAGCATGTGACCAGACCAAACCATCTGCCACTAGAGTAGCAACAGGCCAAGATGTGTGGCCTAGGTCAGGGGACTGCAGGTGCCTATGAGGGAGTCTCTTTGTGCCACAGGCTTTTCCTTCCTGCCCACTTCCCCGTATCTGCCCTCCTCACCTGGCCACCCTCTGACACAAAGTTCTGCTGACCTCTCATCTGAAAGTGAACGGACTGAGAGGTGGGGAAAATTCCAGGTGTCTGACAAGGCTGCAGTACTCTCCCTCTTGACAGGGACCTTCTTTTTTTTTTTTTAAGATTTATTTTTATACAAGAATTGGGGTACAGGCCAGATGCGTGGGAGGGTGAGAGGATTCACCAGAGACAGAGTGGGGAGCAGAACAGACAGACTGAGGAAATACACTGCTGAGGGGAGCAGCGAGCAAGACAGGAGAGGCCTGCTGTGCCATATGGGACCCTCACCGGCCGGCCGGGATCAAACCAGCGCTGCAGAGGCTGCAGACAGCTTCACAGCGCAGTGCCCAACCACCGCCTGTGCCACCAGGGAGGCCCGACAGGGACCTTCTTTCCGTATTATTAAACCTAAGTGTACAGCAGCAAGCATGTTGTAGTACATGTTAGGGACTAATCAATACTACTCCCACTTTGGAACAGAGAGCATACCCCCCATGACCTTGGGGAAAACACTTGAATGGGGCACTGCCACCCTGCAGGTTGGCTGCTCATGCCATGGGTTAGGAGGCCAACCCAGCATGAAAGGACCAAAAAGGGCAGGCCTCCTGCTCCTGCCTGGTACCACTTTGAGCCCCCACCCAGTTCCCTTTGGTCTCTGTGGTCCCCTCTCATCTCTTGCACGACACTCCCACTCTCAGCCCCATCATCTGTCCAGTCTCATGGGTGGTCTAACAGGCACTCCAGTGCCAAAAAAAGCACTCAGCCTGATCCCCCGACAGGTCCTGACCCAGAGGCCCTCAGGAAATCACCTACTTTCTTAAATTGCCCCTTTCCTCCCTGCAGCCCTCATCTGAGGCCACTGGCAGTTCTGATGCCCCTCTGGTTCCCAATCTCCTTTCTTTTGGGGACCTATTTCTCCAGGTTAAACCATCCGTGGTTGTATAACAGCCACCAAGCTCCACCCCATTTAGCTCCCTCGCCACCAGCACCAGCTCCTCATGCAGCTCCTCACACCTCTACACTCTTCTCTTGGTCCCAAACTTGCTCCCCATACTGGGCTTTCTCAAGGCCTGTGCGCTGTGGATGTTCCACGTGGAACATTCCTGAGTGATCAGACCTCATTCACAGGTGCTCCTCCTTGAATCCTCTAAGCCCACGAGTGCCAGACAGCAGTGCTGACTCCAGGCTAGGCCACAGGGCATACTTTCGTCTCCAAATCACCAGAGCCCTGAAACATTGGCCTTCACTATCTCCAGTAAGGGGTCATCCAGGAGCAGGCCACTGGGTAAAGGGTTACTTTTTGGTTTGGCCACATGCATTGCCAACCCTTGGTTCCTGTGTGTGCACTGATGCCCCCTTCCCTCAGGTCAGTATACTGCCCAGCACAGGGTCAGTCCTTCCAGAATCCTTTGACTCAAACCACAGAAGTCTTTCCATCAGGCCACAGTCTTCAAAGCTCTTCTTCAGAGCCTTCCTGAGCACCCAACCCCATGAGCAGGGACCCTTTTGCACCCACTTGGGCTTCTGAAGAATGTACAACCTCCCCACCCCCCACTCCTGAATCACTGTTCAGACTGCTCTTTCATCCGGGGCCATAGGCACATGCAGTGTAACTGAGGTAAAACTGGTGCCCAAACATTCTCCACGTCCCATACCCTGTGAACTCAGAGATTATAAGCAGAAACCACTTTCCAAGGAAACAACCAGCAAGAGGCCCAAGAGCTTCCCTGATGGCTGGTGGGTCCTGGCCTCTAGTCTGGTGATCAGGGAGCCAGATCAGGAGAAGATTCAGAACTTGAGGGAGGGATGAGAGAGACTCCTAGAATCAGCTCAGGGATCAAAACCCACCCCTGCTGCTTGACCAGCAACATTCTGTAACATCTAAAATTAAATAAGCCCTCTTCTCAGGAGAGCCATAGAGTCCACGACCTAGTCAGCCCAAGCTGAGCTGAGTGCAGTAAGGACTCACTGAGTGCTCCCCTCCACACCTCCTTAAGCCTCACAGGAGCATGTGCCATGTGAATAAAATGAAGAAGGGAAGGATGGAAGAATAGGCACACCAGAAATGTCAGGGGGAGGGGGAGACGCATAGAGCTGAGGGGGCAGTAGCACTCAGCAGCTGTGGGAATGAACACTCACAGGAACTGCAAAGTTAAGCCCCCTTCCCCGCATGAGAAACATGAGGATATGAATGGGGATGGGATGGAGGGTGGTGGTACTGTGCTTAACCTTTAACATGAAATCCACGTGTCCAGCAATCCACTCTCCCCCAGGCTAGGGCTTAGAAAGGTCTTACATGCACACTACAGTGTGGGGCACAGGGAGTTAAAAATAACCTGAAAAGAGCAACCCTTTCTTCCCTAAATATCCACTCCGGGGATTAAAACAGAAAGAAAAAGTACACATCTAAATACTCTTCTTCTCTACTACAGGCTCTGGCTGCTCAGGAGTAAACCTCCTCCTCCTGAGTCTAACGTCCTCCTACCGCCTCACAGTCACCACACATGCTGACTTCTTTGGGCTCTGATATCTGAAAGTGAGTTGGAAGTGAATTCTTCCCGCATGTCCTCAGTGGTCAAACCTGCACAGGTTCTTCACTAGGAGTGGGCCTGGGTCTCCCCTCTTATGACAAAGGCCCTGCAGGGGGGTCAAAGGAGGGGTTGATCTGGATGGTTCCAACATGGGAGGCAGGAACACACACAGTGTTACTAAATGACTGCCTAGAGGCCCTGCCACCTGAGCTCTCAGTCAGGAGACTTCCCACATCAGAACCCAGCAAGCAACTGTGCCTTTCAGTGAGGCTGTCTACACCTCACACAGCAGGTTCCCAGCAGCCTTGTGCCAGCTTGGATACTGGGAAGGACTGGGACGGACAGGGAGCTCGTACCAGCTCGTGGCTCTGTGGCTTGCCCTGCAGCTTCTGGTGGTAGTCGAAGGTGAGCCTGTCCAGAACAGCATGCTCCTCCTCGTCCACTGTAGCCATGGAGCGCTCCTTGTTGATCTTGTCAATGTCGATGTGCTCTTCACCCTCCAGGATGGCACTCCACCAGTACTCGCCCACCTTGTTCAGGCTCACCTGGGACAGAGGGGCAGGGATGGCACAGGTGAGGAGGAGGCAGTGCTATTCAGTGGGCCCGGAAGGATGAGGGTTCCCAAAGGAGTGTGAGGACATAAAGAAGAGATCCCAGAGAGGGACACTGGGACACAGGGGATGGAGTCCAGGAGGACACTGCATCAAGGACCCAACACCCCAAGAATGATCTGATGGCATCTGGGTCTTCTCCGCCAGACCCTCTCAGAGGACAGTGCTTATAATGGGCATCACCACTCCACACCCACTCAGCCACCAGCATCCCAGCCCACTCAGAGCAAGGGGAGCCATTTCCAAGAGCTCAAAGATATCCACCCAATACTGGCCTCATGGTCACCCATGCAGCCCCGGGAAGCTTAACCCCGAATGTGAGCATCTGTCAACATCCCCCCTCCCTCCTGCATACTAGCACAGCAGTCATTCTGCCTCTTGGAACCTGAGGAACAGTGTGCTCAGCCCCATGATGAACTCCCCTCAACCAGACACTCAGGTACCCTGTCTTGCTACCTGCCCTGGTCAGGCTGGCTCTGAGCTCTGTGATACCCTCCCAGTTGCCCATCCTTGCTGGCACTGTCTGCTTTATGATGGGATGAGACTCTCAGTCATGACTCTCAGTTAGCAGGGAGCGAACATGAAGATAAAGAGCCAGCCATGGAAAGCAGTGTTCACTCACATGTGTGCCATGAGGAGGAAGTTACTTAGTGGCTGGTAGGAAACTGTGAAAAAGTAGACTTGGAATGGGCCCACACAGGTAACACCTGTGATAACCTGCATGTTCCTGGCAGGTATCACTCCAGTCAGAAGCAATCAGGGCCAGTGCTCACTAGCTATGGTGCACAGTTTCATGCTGCAAACTACTGCCAGAGCCTACTGCCCAGAGGGCTCAGTAGGGCTCAGCAGGGCTCAGCCCAGGGACAACTTCAAGAGCCTAAGCACTCCAGAGGGCCGGGTTACAGAACCTCCAGAAAATTGCAAGCGTGGCATTAACATCAACATCTCAGCTTCTTACAAAAGCAACCGCCCCACTTACGATTCACCCAGGTGGATGTAGTGTGAAGAACCCAGGGATAGGGTGAACTGGCAGCTTCTGAGTACCCCTACTGCTCATCCCATCAGATGAATAGTTTCTACCCTGCCAGTGCATGGTTTGAGGATGCCATTTAGACAGCTTCTTGCTGACTTTGCTCTTTAGTTAGCGTGTGGAGTCTGACATGGCCCTAGGAGACTCCAACATCAAGAATTTGGTTCTGTCCTTACTGAGCTGTAGAAAGCTTCCAAGTGGGAAACACATTCTGGTTTTGCTATTCTAGGAGAGGATACAGGACTATAAATTTCTGGAAAAAGAGACCCTTAAAGTTTATTTTACTTGGGTCTTCATTAGTTGTTCTGGTTGCCCGGATCTCTATCACATGTATTTTAGGAGGCTTGTATTTCTAACCTCAGAAATCAGCGCGTCTTGCATGGATCATCCAGTGCTGCAGGCAGCACACTACTCAGGCGAACGGCCCACCGAACAGTGCCCCCAAGGGTCAACCCAAACACGGCCCAGGGGCTCCATCATAGGTCCTTTTCACACACACACACAACCCAACACTTGCTGCCATGATACCTGTGTCCAAGGAGCAACCCCATACATGCACTCTGCAGGCCCTGACAGTTGGATTTTCTTCCTGTAACACAAGTGCCTGACTTAAGCTTTCTGATACCAAGGCATCCATTTTAAAAGGGGCTAACTCAAGCACATTACCAGTCACAGGACTTGATAAAGGGTCAAGACACCTCACACCACTGAGGTGCCTTTCTTTTTCAGATCCTTGATTTAGATAACTGACCATTTGGGAAGTCATATGGTTTTCTTTTTTTTATCTGCGTTTTAAATTTCTAGTTCTAACGTTTTAAAATCACCAATAGAGTCCATAAAACCCTATACCCCCACCCCCGCCCTCAACCACAATGACAGAAGAACCCCCAAGTCTGTACTCATGTGCTCCTCTCTCTCCCAGCAACCTTGACGGGTGGCCACAAGTTTTTAATTCTATTTATTTTTGCTTGGAAGACTTGGGGTGGAGGTGCACAGGTAGTGAGAGGAGTCACCAAAGACTGAACAGGTAGATTTACTGAAATACACTAAGAGGAACAGCAGACAAGACAGAAGAGGCCTGCTGTGCCGTATGTGGGCTAGCTTCCTGGCCAGGGACTGAAGTCAGGCTATAGAGGTGATAGCGCTGAGACTCAACCCCAGGCCACCGGGGAGTCCCTATTTTTTTTTTTTTTTTTAAGTTTGCTAAAGATTATTGCTGAAGAGCATCTTGAAATCCTAAGAAGCACAAGGACCAGCCCAAACAAAATATTGGTTTATTGATATGCTGAAATGGAAACAAAACACCCAAAAAAACCAAGAAGAATTCAACACTACCTTTATACAATTTGTGAGGTGAAATTCACATAAAATTAACCACTTTAAAATGAATAATGCAGTATACTTAGCATACAATACAAATAGTGTTGGTACAATCACCAACTCTATCTAGTTCTCATCACCCCAGAGGGACATCCATGAACACTGGCAGTCACTCCCCACTTTATTCTTTTTTTTTTTTTTTTTAAAGATTTATTTATTTATTTATACAAGCACTGGGTATAGTCAGAAGTGCGGAAGGGTGAGAGAATTCACCAGAGCCAGAGCGGAGAGCAGAGCAGGCAGAAAGACGAAATACACTGCTGAGGGGAGCAGCGGGAGCGGCAGGAGAGGTCTGTTGCGCCATGTGGGACCCTCGCCGCCAGAGGCCGGGGATCGAACCAGCGCTGCAGAGGCTGCGAGCAGATTCGCAGCCCAGCGCTCAACTGCTGCGCCACCAGGGGAGGCCCACTCCCCACTTTATTCTAAACTTTCCCTTATTCCCAGCCCTTGGCAACCGTTAGTCATTTGTTCGTCTGGACCTTTCACAAAAACAATCATGAAATAGGGCCTCCCCAGTGGTGCAGCGGTTGAGCGCTGGGCTGCGAAGCTGCCTGCAGCCTCTACAGCGTGGGTTCGATCCCCGGCCACTGGCAAGGGTCCCATATGGTACGCAGACCTCTCCTGCCGCCCGCTGCTCCCCTCAGCAGTATACTTCACCAGTCTGCCTGTTCTGTTCCCCGCTCTGGCTCTTGTGATTCTCTCACCCTCCCGTGCTTCTGACTGTACCCAGTGCTTGTATGTATGTATGTATGTATGTATGTATGTATAAATGAATGAATGAATGAATAAATCTTTAAAAAAAAAAAATCATGAAATATTTGTCTGTCTGTGCCAGCTTTCTGAACTCAGTAGAATGTCCTCAAAATCTAGCATGTGGTAGAACATGAAGAAATTCACACCCCTTTCAGACTGGTTAATACAGAATGGAGCTCAAGGAGCCACACCTAAAAATAACAACTTCGATAAAGTAGTCTGATGGGCTAACATTTGGTTTTAGTTTAATTATCTTCTTACTTTTTAAAAATCAGATTTTTGGAGGCATAGTTTGCATAGAGTAAAAGTCAACCTTTTAAGGATACATTCAATGAGCTTTGAAAAATATGCAGCCATGCAGTCACCACTGCAATCAAGTTATACCCCCCAAAATTCCTGTCCCATTTGCAGTCTCCTTCACCCCCAACACTCCTGTTGCCATCTGCTGGTCTCTGTCCAAAATGTCTGAGGTTCATGGAATCACATGGCCTCAATCTTTCTCCATGTGATGGTTCCTAAGTCCAGCCACACTGCATGGGTGTGAGGAGTTATTCCTGATATGGTGGGCCGTGGCTCACTAGTCATGCACCCGCGAAGCGGTTAACTATGAGGCTATGTGCAGGCCTCTGTACGAACACTCATTCTCATTCTCCTGGGTAAATAAATACACAGCAGTGGACTTGGTGGGTCCTATGGGAAGTGTATGTTTAGCTTTATAAAAAACCATCAAATTATTTTCCAATTAATTCAGCATTCAGAAGTCCCAACAGAATGCATGAAAAATTCCAGTGGCTCCAAGTAACTGGCTGCACTTGGCAGTGCAAAATCTTTCCAGCAGGCACTCTAACAGGTATGAAGTGATACATCACTGAGGTTAAAATTCAAGCTTTCTTGGCTCCTGGAGGAGCCAGAGGTGAGCTGGGAAGTTCGCCCACGCCAGGCCCCTTCTGGCCTGCAGTCCGAGCCCAGAAGGGGAGCAGGCACCCAAGACCGGGGCAGACCGAGTACGCAGAGGAGTGTGAACCAGCATCGCCTTTTTAAAACAGGGACCTTTTTCAGTAAAGCCTGCTTGAAACCAGCAGATGGCTCCTGGAAAAGCCAGAGGTGAGCTGGGAAGTTCGCCCAGGATGCCGGCCAGTACCAGCAACACAGTGTCCCAATGCATACAGCAAATTAGAAAACAGACAGTAGGGAGTAGAAAAACCACACGCAACCTAGCAACTCCTCAGGAAAAAAGCACACCACAAAAAGAAAACCAGCCCCCAGATTGCAATGACAGTAACTTGGAAGAACTTCTGAGCCTTCCAGAAAGAGAATTTAAAATTGGCGTGATTAAAAAACTGACAGAAGTCATAAAGGAAAACAATGATAAGGGAAAAATAATCAATGATCAGAAGAATGAAATTCGGTCCATAAACAGGGAAGTAAAAGAAATGCAGGAGATCAAAGAATTAATGGAGATGCTAAAGAACTCTGGGAAAAGCAATGAAAGTAGAATAGATGAAATGGAAGAACGAATAAGTACTCTTGAAGACACAGAAATAAAAAGAACCAAAACAGAAAAGGAAAGAGAAGTACAAAGGAAAAAGACCGAAGAAAGACTTCGGGAACTATCTGACTCCATGAGGAAAGGAAATATAAGAGTTATAGGAATCCCAGAAGGAGAGGAGAGAGATGTAGGAACAGAGAAAATATTCAAGGAGATAATTGAAAAGAACTTCCCAAACGTGAAGAAGGAGCTGAAAATTGACATACAAGAAGCAAGAAGAAC